TATAAATATATATATATATATATATATATATATATATATATATATAAAACTTTTCTCTTAATTCCTATAGTTTGCTGGTGCAAAGCTGTAATTCTTTTTCCATAGGAAGTGCTGCAAATCGTTTATTTATATATTCATCTGTAACATCAGTTAAAGACGTCGATTTCCACACTGGTTTCTGATCTTTATCGATTAGAAGTGCTCTGACACCTGAAATTAAATTAAAATATTGGTCCAAAAACAAGTGCACAAATATACCAAATTCTATTCGATTACCTTCAAAGAAATCGTCTTCTTTGCTTAAGGCAGAACATGCCAATCTATATTCAACCTTTAAACATTCCGCTAAGGATTTTCCACTTCCTTCATCAATCGCTTTTTTAGTAATTTTCAGTGAAGATGGAGATACTTTGAGTAATATTTCCATATTCTTTCGTGCCCAATCCGAATTGTCCTTCTTTAGCCTTTATAAAGATTACACAATGCTATATTATAGATAAAAAGATATTCATTCGATTAATTTATATATAGCTGCATTTTACTTCTCAATTATTTCTTCAACAGATGGAGCAGAAAAACAATTTTCTATCTGCGACATATGAGGCGCCAAACTAAATTCATGATTTAATTTCGGTTGATACTTGTTTAAAATCAATTCAATGTCAACTTCTCGCAATGTTAACAAATCGCGTTTTAAATCAGCGAGTTTTTCCGATGGCACAAAATGTGTCGCAATTCCAGCAAGGAGAACGTCGACACCTGGACGAAATATATATTCATAACAAGGTTGGATAGTAACTGGCTAATTAATCAGTTAAAATAATAAAATTACAAAGTTAGTAACTTAATTTATTAATTTTATTTACTTTTTAGAATATATTGTAACTTTTTAATGTATTACCAAATAACAATTTTATTTTATTTCGTAATCGTTTTATCAATAAAATTTGATCAATTTTTATCAATAAAATTTGATGTTTTATAGTCTAATATAAATAATATTTTTAAAGTTAACTTTTAATTTAATTAATATTTTAATGTAATTTTAATGTAATTTTTAACTAATTTTACTTTTTTACTCATGCAATTTTGTAATTTAATTTTATAGATCATTAACTTTAATTTGTTAGTTAAAAATATAAACCATTATTTATCCAACTCTAATTTATAAATATATAACATAAATATAAAATGTAATCCAGATTACCTTTCAACCTATGTCCCGTCAAATCCTAAGTAGATACCTAGTTTTCCTTTCATTCTAGATAGAAAATAAGTCGCGCCTACATCAGGAAACAATCCTATTGCTGTTTCTGGCATTGCAAAGAGAGTTTTTTCTGTGGCAATTCTATATTTGCCATGTATAGATAATCCAACACCACCTCCCATTGTTATCCCATTAATAATAGCAATATAAGGCTTTTTGTATGTTCCAATCAAATGATTTAAGCTGTGAACAAAATCCCTTTATTCATATAGATAAAAACACATTTTATTTCTTAAAACGTTCTTATGACTTACGTATATTCTCTTCTAAAAAATTCTTCACCCTGAATATTTCCTTTTGGGTCATTCAATGCCAAGACAAGTGATTTGACATCGCCACCTGCACAAAATGCCTTGTCACCTGCACCCTCTACTATTACTAGTTTTTTCGAAGATTCCCATTGTTTGAGAATGGAATATATCTTTTCAACCATAGGCAAATTTATAGTATTCAATACCTTAGGTCGATTCAAAACTATCACACCATTATCATCAATCTATTTAATATATAACATATAATATAAATCTTAATTAATTTCAAAATAACACTAACAATAAAAATTTTGATATATAATAATGTATAAACATACATCTTTTATAAGAATCTCATCATCCATGATTGTTTGTGCATTGACTCCTTCCTTGGTGTTTTTAAATGCTAGAATTAAGATTAATTTTGAATCTTTGTGATTAAACTTTGTGTTAAAAAGTAAATATAAAAATAAAATTTTTTGCGTATTTTTTTTAATTATACAACATAAACTTATGTGCTAAGAAGAAAAATTGTTACTTATATGTGATAAATAAAAAATATTTTATGATTTATAAAAATACATTATCTCTTTTATGTGAAAAAAAGAATAAAATTATTAGTAATAAAAGTACCCGAAATACAAGAATTGCAGCCTTACCTGAGATACCTGTCGTTGATAACCACCTAACAGTAGCACGTGCGACTGTAGAACTGATATTTGAAGAATACAATTTTCTTGTAATGTTTAATATCTAAAAAAAGGAATACGAAAAAGTTTATGGATTATTGATCCAATCATATACCCAATTTCCAATTTATACTTCAAATTGAAATTACCATATCTGTAAGTGTTTTAGGACTAATTAGCAACGATATAAAATCTCGAACTGCTGACTATTGCTGACGCAAAACGCAGACGTCCCACGTTAGTGTCGATCCACAATAAGTGATTTAAGCTTTAAGAAGTAAGAAATTGATCAATTATAATCGAATATAAAAAGAATAATCGACTATGATTGGTCAATTTCTTACGGTTTAAAGATTAAATACTTATTGTGAACCGACACTTATGTATTTAAACACCATTGCATGTAAAAAATTTTAGTCGTAATCGTAAGACGTAAGCAAATTGACCAATGACATTCGACATTTATTTTTTGGATTGTAAAGAGGATAGACGAACTCTGATTGGTCAATTTACTTACAACTTTAAGATACTTTAAAGTAAAAATGATCATTCAGATTTCACTATTCTGTTTAATTTTGATCATGTAATCGCTAAAAATGAGTGTCGAGCGTCAGCATGAAAAGGCACCTTTACAATTATGATTAAAATTTTTTCACGCAATGGCTTTCACAGATGTAAATATATAATATAAATATATAATATTAACTGATAGTCACTGCTAGTATTGAAAATACATAGTTCGTGTCATATGTTATAAGAACGGTTATTCATAATTGTCACAGAGCCGTATTAAAACCGTACAAAGCCGTATTAGTATAAAACGAACTTACTTAAGAAGTTTTTTTTTTATAAATTTATACTAATTACATTGACGAATTCAACTATTATGTTTTCTGAATTCAGTCATTTCCAACTGTAATAAATTAATAATCGCTTATTGAACGTTTTATTCTGCTGAACGCAGTCATTGGTTCTTGCTTTTAGTTCCTCACCGGTCCTAAATGTATAAACCAATCATATTAAAGAATCTTACAACAGTCACAAAACTTTTTTTTCTGCTGAACATAGCCGTCGTTTAGTTTTCTATTCTTCCATATTTATCTTATCCGTATTGTGCCTCGTTAAAAGTCAGAACAGAAAAATCAAACTCAAAAAAAGGACGAGGTATCGTTGTGATATTCATGATCATCATGTTGGACTGATCGCTTGCGAAGCAAAAGGATATCTAACGACGATTTTTCTGTACGCTAGAAAAGTCGGAGAGCTACAAGGTAAGTATCCCCAGAATTATTAGAAGGGGGATGCATATTGTATTTTTATCAATATTAAAGTACACGACAATAAGATTTATTTTAGGTAATTTTCGATAAATTTGGATATGTTTCGGGTAATTGATTTATTACCTACAGTAAAAATGTCAAAAGAGAACGATAGAATTTTTAGGATACAGAAACAGTCACTATAATTTCTATTTCATTTGGTTGTCTTTATACTAGATTCGTTGGACGAGTCATCAAATAATAACTGCAACATGCCGAAAATGCCGATTCGAAAGGCTAAAAGAGTTGGCGTGCTTACCAAAAGGACGCAATGCTTGAGGAGACATTACAAGGAACAGTCTTATAGACCATGTAAGAGAATTAAATTTTTTCAGTGAATTTTTATTCATCTCATGTTTTTCTCAACATATTTTCCTTAATATTTAACTAATCACTTATCATTTAATTAATAAAATCATTTTCTTCTAGTATATGAAAAAATCAAGAACAATAATTGTTATTTGGCCAAGGCACTTTCAGAAGAGAAACAGAACAATCAATCATTATTTACACAAAATATACAGCTAATTGGAGAAAAATCAACAATTAAATCTAATATGCGATACACAGAATGTAAGCATGTATTGTCTATATTAATTGATTGAAAAAAAGGAATTTTATATATATAAGGAGATGATTTTGTAAAATGAAAACTTATTTATCAAAAGATAGAAATAAAGGTATAAATTTGATTATAAAATATTTGAAATTATACAAAGAAACATACATTGAAAAAGAAAAAAAGGAAAAAGATATTTAAATGTAGAAAAGTATTTAGATATTTTCAATATTATATATATTTATATAAAATAGGATAAATTTTTTATATAAATTTTCACAAAATTTTCTTTTATAAAATTTGATCTTGTGCTTATTTATAAATTGAAGAGAAGTAGAAATAAGAATTATTCATGCATATATCAGATGTTTTATCATGATCAAAATGAATTGCGATTAAATTAAAACAGATGAAATATATTTAAATTATATTTATATATCTTTTATTTTTAAATTTTGATTTTTCTGCTCTTTTTCTATAATTTTCTTAATTAAATTTATTGTCTGTTCTAGACTGTGATTTCCAATGTTCTGACTAATGCAAAAGAAGTATTGAAAATGTTAGTCACAATGACTGGTTATATGACAAATACTATCTCTATGTGTCAAGAACTTGTTGCTTCCAATGCTACTGTTAGGTTGTCATCTACTACTCTAGCTGGAAGTAAGGAATCTTATCTTAACTTTTCGCAATCTGTATTTTTGTTTATGTTCTAGATCATTTTATATATAATTTTTATTTTCATTTTATTGAAATATATTTTAGACAAAGAGTCAACCAACAGATTTTCAACAAAATCGCCAGCTAAAGGTGTGGTGAAACCTATGGTAGGTGGGCACACTATTACTAAGCCCACGATTAATTTAAGCCGAGTTAATATGGAAAATATTAATATATCAAGACTAAGTGATATACAAGAAGTAGCTACACCTAATAGAAGTCAAGAGATTAATGATACTAGATCACCAATTACCGTTCCTTTAGCCACTACTCCTCTTAGATACGTATGTATATATTTATTTTTAATTTCTCTCTTTTCTCTCTCTCTCTCTCTCTCTCTCTTTCTCTTATATTATATATATATATATATATATATATATATATATATATATATATATATAGAAATTTAACTTATTTATATATGTTATAAAAAATGATATAAATTGAAAGATAATGAAATTTCTAAATATAATTAGGAAAATGGTCGCCCGTGCAGACTACCAGAAAGAATAAGGATCTCTTCACCCAGAGTTAATGGTATAGTATATTATAAAAACATTCTATATTTTATCATTAATAATATTATAATTATTAATTAATATTTACATATGCAGAAAACGAACAAAGATTAAGAAGAAAAAGAAGTCATCATTCGAAAAGATTATCGGTATCCTTTTCGCGGTCACGAAATAGATGGTCCGATGAAACTCCAACAACTGCGGGACATATTACTGTAAGTATAACTTATAGTAAAATTTAAAAACTTATTACTGCGAAACATTTAAATTGTTATTGTTAGGAGAGTTGTTTCATCTATATAATGTATGCCCAATATTTATTTTTTAAACAATAAGAGATAAATATCAGCATTGTTAAATATCTTTATAAAAAAAATTTTCAAATATCACAAAAAAGTTATTTTTTTAATATTAAAAACTTCAATTATTTGCGATATTAGAAATCTGATGTGCTGGAAAAATTTTGTTTCAACATCCAAAAATCTATAAGAAACATTTTATCTGATTCAAAATAATTTTTTATTGTAAATTAATATAATCAATTTTATTACTGATATTAAGTATGTTATTTCGTAAATTTGTAAATAATCCATTGCGAAAAATATCACTCAAGATTTAAATTTAAATATCTCTATTCTTTTCGCGATAGATGTCTTTACCAATTCAATCACAAAGGCAATTTATTTTTTTATCTCGAAATATTGCATGTATTTAAATTATTATCGCAGTAATTTTTATTATAACTTCTTTACAGATAATTGGAAGCCAGATTAACGTTGACAATCAGGAAAACAATGATGCGCCTCAAGATTTATCAACTAGAAATATCACAGTGCCAGAATCGCAATCTACTAATTCGAATGAGGAAGAGGATGAGACGCATGCAAACACATCGAAAAAGGATTCGGATATTCAAATTAATAACAAGATCTCTAATAAAGATTTTAATAGGAATTTAAATTTAACAGAAAACTCGAGACTGTCGCGGAACAATACTAGAGTTTGGGAAGAAGAGGATCCGTTAGAGGGTCCAAGTTGGCTGTTTAACAATACTATACCATCACGGGATAATGAGCCAGAAGAACTCGATCATGTTAATGTCTCCGACGCTAACAATAATACATCTCGAATAATAATGTATGATGGTTCGAACGTTACAGACAATAATATAGAAGAGATATCACATTTAAATGAATCTATAAACAATACGCCAACTTCGGGAAGAGGCGTTGCCGATGACACTGAGTATAAATCTTATCTGCATGAGGACATGGATAGTAATTTCTGCGAGATACTTCCGACAGAATCTATATACAATCATGAGAGAAATTTAGATAATGCAGAAGACAATGTAATGAAATTTACGAACTTTGTAACGATGAGACAAGAACATTCTGAAGCATTGGAAGACTTTACATTGTTGTTGCGTCAACCAGCACAAAACACGCAATTCAATATCGACGAATTACGACTGCCTGTTTTAGAGGACTCCGCGATAAATGATTCCTCAAGAATCAAGAATGAAATTGATTCCGAAGTAACCGTCACAATACCAAGGGTTACAAATATTCCAGTAGCATCAGTATCAAATCGTAATTTAAATCAATCCGAATACGATCATATCACAATAAAACTGCCATTAATCGTTATTAATGATCACAAACGAATGTCAACATCGCTAGAGAAGAATCATTCCAAAAATAAGAAATCGAAAACATCAAATATGGAAGAACAAATGAAAAATTCTAAAGACTCGGTGACAGTTAACAATAAAGTGAAGAAAAGAAATAAATCGAAGAACAGTCGAGATCCGAGCACAGCAAAAGTCGTATTGGAGAAGTTAAATGAATCTCATGTTAAGCCGAAGATATTGACACCTAATGATACCCAAAATGCTAATAATCTCGAGTATGTATAATTATATTACATAATAAAATATTTTTTGTAAGTCGTAAGTTGCACAATTTCACGTTTTGGATTTATAATACTACAGAAAAGAATCCACGTTCGAGGAAAAAAGTCCACAAAGCATGGAAAGCAATGTATGTGCGAATCGCCCTAAACGAAGAAAAGCACCAGTAAACTTGACAGAACCTAAATTGAATGTGTGAGTAGACATTTTTTGATCAAAATTCATAATTTGATCAATTCATAATTTTTTTTTAATTGAAAAATTCTTCTATCTTGTACACATCTTGTACACATATATTTTTTTGTTAAAGATGTATCTTTATCTCTGAGTCATTAAATTGCAAGTCTACTAAAAATAACTGCATTTGCGATACATAAGCAATATTT